GCTTCTTCAACTGGAGGGTTTGCGTTTCAATTCTAGAACACGCTCAGCCACTAACTTTTTGAATATTACATTATAGCTAGTTTCTCTTTCAGAACTCCTGAATATTTTATATTTGCTCATTTAATTCTCCTAATATGTTTATTTTGCTATAAAAATCTTATTCTTAGCTGCATTTTGAATACTTTTAGTTCTATATTCTAATTTTTGTTGTGACTTTAAAAAGGAATACAGAGTAAGGAGGTTAACTCTCCTCACAAATATCAAAACAACTGGAGTTTCTAGGAGGAAGTTTTTTCATAAAAAATACTATGCCCCATGCCCAGGATACCTTTTAAAAACAGAGAATGGTCCTAAGGGGGCTGTGGTGTGTGTATGTGTGTGTGTCACTGGAACTGAACACAGTACTTTTGCATGGTTATATTTCCAGCCTTTTTGCATTTTTTATTTTGAAATAGGTGCTTATTAAACTAACTTACCCAGGCTGGGATCAAAATTCTGACCCTCATGCCTCAGCCTCCCAGAATGCTGGGATTACAGAAATGTGCTTATTTTTTAAAGTCAATATTGGTTAGACGATTGGATTTATGCTAAGGGAATATTTCTGAAGGTTCACTAGGAAGAGATAAGTTATTTCATGATTATGATTTGCTGTCCCGGTTCTCCTGTTGCCCTTGATAGGGTGATAGGATGCAAAGAACATGGGATTTTGGGTCAATCAGACTGGGGTGGGACTTGGGCAACTTAATTCTACCCTCACTGCATTTTTCTGAGTCTTAATTCCATCATGCATGAAATAAATCCAGCAGCCCCGTCATGAATAAGGAATGATATGATGTATGTAGAGAGCTTCATGTAAGTCCTAGACAATAGTGCATTGATACTTGTATCAGAATCTTAGTCACAGCTAGCATCCTCATAGTTATCCTCATTGATAATATTTAAAACCTCACTAGTCATGTCCATCATAGCTCTTTCTGTGATCTGACCTCCCCAGAAGAAATAAATTAATAATGGACAAGGTGGGGGTTGCAATGATTCCTTGGGGAACCTTCTGTGGTGATATTTTATACACTTTTCACCTGCAGCAGCCCCCCTGTTCAATCCTTTCATTTGGTTGGCCCCAAATGAAACATTCTGGGGTGCTTTCTTGCCACATCCAGTGTAGTATAAAGTCTATTTGGGAGCCACACCCTGTAAGAAGGACCTCCAGGACTCTTAAAAGATAAACACTTAGAAAATTGATGCAATTTAAATCAAACTGTTATAAACACATGTTCCCTGTAATTTTTCAAACTAATATATTTAATTCTGTCTGGCAGCAGAGTCCAAATTGAATTCATACTAGATAGATGAGTACATTGGAAAAAGATAATATACTGATGCAGGATCACTCTGCCTGGGGTGAGGGCAGCCGGTGTTCCCACAAGATGATGCTACATTCTGCAACTGCTGCTTCCCCAAAGCCAGCCTCATGAATTCCTTGTGATATTCATGGCAGGAAATGGCATTTTCCTATAAGCACATTTTAGTGACTAACATCCCTATATGTGCATGCTTTGAGGTCTTTTCCTGGGAGGGTCAGCTTGACTGTAGAGCAACCAGGATGTACAATGAATCCCATCATTATCAAACAACATCATTTAGCACACACTGTCATTAACTAAAGCACAGACAGTGCTTGTGCCAAAGGCAGAACTGCGACTTCATTGTTAACGTCACTACTTACTAAAGGTGGGGAAAACCTTATCTAATTTGTTGATGCTTGTAATCAATACTTATCATATACCATATGTGGGCTAGGAACATAGCTATATTAATGTATAATTGTGTGTTTTTACCTGTTGAGTTTAGTCTTTGCAATAGCCCCATTTTCTAAAGGAGGAGAATGGAACAGAAGGAGTTAAATACTTGCTGACGGTTACGCAGCAAGATGTGGAGGATCCAGGTCCATTCTAAGACAGGAACCACAGGGAGGGGCTCTTCCTTTCACCCTGTGACCGTGTAGAGTCCAGGAAGAGTCAGAGAGCAAAATCTGGATGCCCAGGGATTCCTGAAGTGAACTGATGTGTGGAAACCATGCTTATACCAATTTTGCAAAATTTCACTAACAATCTAGTATATAACTGCTCTAGATATACTGTCAAAGGCTAACATTCAGAAAACTTAGCTTTACTTTAAGTTGAATACACACCTCACTTATGCGTACTTTAACAACTCCACTGGAGCTCGGAATGTTTCTGCCCACCCATCCTTCCCACACTTCTTTTTCTTCATATTTGCTGAGTTCTGTGAAGATAAAGAAAGAGGCGATACAGCACAAAAGAAAGAACGGGTTAGCTTTCTGTTACTGTAACAAAACACTGCGATGATCAGCTGATAAAAACCCAAGGTTTATTTGGGTTCAGTGTTGGAGGTTTCACTCCCTGACTGGTGAACTCCGTTGTTTTAGGCCTGTCGGTGCATCATGGTGAGAACGGTGGGCAATGAACCCTGCATTTCCTGATCAGGACACAGAGGGCAGGCCAAGAGACTGAGGCCCCACAGTCCTCTTCAACGGCATAGGCCTCGGGCATAGCTCCCACTAGAAGCAGCCTCTTATTTCCCACCACCTTCCAATAATTTCATCCTGGGAACCACGCCTTGAGCACATGGGCCTTTGGAGCACATTGAAGATCCAAACTGAGCAAAGAGAAAAGGTTCTCTTTGCTTTGGAAACTTGCATTCTGGTTCAGGAAAACAGACTCATAAATGTGAAGCATTTAGAGATGGACATAACACTGGTTGGTCATCAGCTACATATTAGGTAGCTGAGGGAGAACCATTTCTAGACCTGCCTCTCTCCAGTGGAGTTGGCTCACCATGTCCCTGCTCTGTGTCCTTGTACCCCTCTGCCATGATGCTCTAGCAGTCCTTACTTCCCTGCTAAGTAGAGTAACAAAGGGCCTTTTTGATAGGTCAAGGGCCAAAGCCCCCTGACCACATCAACAGTGAATTTCAAACCACTTTGAGGTAAAATGAAATTCCACCTCCTAAACTGACAAAAGATACACACAGAGCATTAAATTGGCTTTGTTTAGCGCACAGACTTACTCTTATTTATTGTGGGGACCTGGAAACATTGGGTAGTAAGCTAACATTTCTAAAAGATCTCCTTGGAGTCATATAGTGTTTTGATCCAATGATTATGATATAAAGAGATTTCTAAGCCAGATCAAAAAAAAAAAAAAAAAAAAACACCTGCTTCTCTAGCACTCTGAAAGGAAGGATGATCATAAATTCAAACCCAGCCTGGGCACTGTAGTGATTCAGCAGGTCCCTATCAAAACAAGGTGGGAGGGCTGCAGATGCAGCTCAGTGCAAAATTTCACTAACTCGTTGGTTATTGTTATGGTTTGTGTCTGGATGTCCTCCCAAAGCCCCATGCAGTCATGGGGCAGGCTCCTAGAGTGCAACTGATTCATAGTCCACCAATGTGAGATTATGGGTGTGAATGCTACGCCCGCCCTAGGGTGGGTAGCCCACTGACTATATAAGGGGCAGTTTTCTGTCACACTTCTTGCCTTTTGGTTCTTGTTGCTTTTGAACAGTTGCCCTCTGCCATGCACCCTGCCTTGGAGCCAGCTGAGTATAGACTGAAACTTCCATGAACTGTGAGATAAATAAATCCTTCTTTCCCTAATTTTAGGCACTGGGTATTTTTGCCTCAGCAATGAGAAAAAAGTAACCAACATAGTTATACATTAATTATTTGGAGTAAAGTAGTCATGTGATTTTGTCTAACAGCCTATGTTCATGTGTTGGCAGGACTATAAACATATTCCATCTAGTAGCCTCAGTTATGTCCAAAGGGAATTATCTTTTTAACTATCACCAACGTGTTCCCAGATACAGTTCTTTGATGTGTTTGACTCTATTTGTGGAAGTACCCAGGGCTGGATTGGCAAGGTTTGTTAAATGGAAAAAAAGGTCTGAATTATCTTCTAGATAATTATGTGGACAGGCAGACTCTGCCCTATGTAGCCTGTCACACAAGTAAGTCTTTGCAGAGGTTAGTTTCATTTGTAAAACAGCATGAGCTTTCAATTTTCTTCTTACTTTTTAAATTTATGGTGGCTTGATTTTTTTTTTGGTAAGGCGTATGTGTTTGTATAAATTCCACCACCATCGCTCTTCCACCGCATCCAAAGATCTTGGTGCTCTTCTGAGCTGGAAGCCTGGATTTTCTCTGTCCCCTCCCCTGCTGAGTACGCACTCTTGCTTTGCAAATTGCATGTGTGCCTAAGATTTTCCAATTTTCCTTCGAACTGTGATTGTAGTATTTAACACAACCTTGTAACTTTTAGCCCCTTATTGGTATAGATGGCTCTTGGTGCTTTTAAATCTACTTAATTAAAATTTGAGACTGATATGCTTGCTGTGGGTGACATTAGTCCCACTCTTTACCTTCCTCAGTTTTCTCTTACAGCCTTTTGCTTTGCAAGAGCTCTTCATGAAGACAACGACATCTTAGCAGACAGTCTAACTCATAATTCATTACTATAAAAATGGTAAAATAATTAAATGTTCATTGCCAAGCACAATGAGATTAAACTCAGCTTGATATTTATGCCACATCTCACTGTCCCCTGGATGTAACTAACTTATCCTTAAAATAAAAGGGAAAGGCTGTACTTTCTAGAGAGTTCCCACCCATCTTTTATTCTTGCTTTTCCTTTGAACCAGAATCATTTCATCAGTTAACCACCGAGTTGAGTGTGTAATTCCATTGCTGACTAGGAGGAAATGAAGGCTGTGCAGTATCCTTTTCCTCTATACCGAGGACGTAGTTAAGATTAACACAACACAATTCATTGCCTAGGTGTGCACACAGTGCCCCACACAGCCAGACCTTTTGTGCCTCCGAGTCTTCTCCTCCCTTAGTGACAGCAAACCCACTGGACTCCAGTGACAGCTGCAGTCATTGGCCCCAGAGCTCTATCTTGTGTATTTCAGCAGGAAGAGGCTGGCTGGGAGGTAGCTAATCTGGTGGTTGGTTTCCAGGAGAACATGGCCCAGTTAGCTATTTAAATCCTACAAGGATGATGTAAGCCAGTGGGGCCGAAAGGGTGAGGAGAAAGGCGACAGGGAAGGAGAAATCTTGTCAGGCTGCATTATTTACAATGAGCTGGCTGAGGCTAAGCGGAGACTGACAGACCCGCCACCTGTGCACTGAGCTGGGCTCCCAGCACCTCCCTGCTGCCTCCCCCACCCTTGGGAGAGAGGATTGTTCAGCACTTCATCTGGTGCTCAGTTGGTGGGGTTAGGAGATGATTTAATTTATACACATACACGTTACGTGTATTTCCTGGCAGAGCAGGTCTCTACTTAGAAAAGCACACAAAACCTGCTCTGCTCTGTGAAGTCCTGGAGTGCCCTAGGAAAGCTGCGGGCTGTCTCTCCAACACTAGTGAGAAAATCACCCTTGTTCCCTCCTCTGGAAGTCTGTGGTCTCAATAACGGCAGCGAAACTTTACAGAGGAGCGCAGAGCTTGGAGGCTGTGTCACAGCACCAGCAAATGATCTGGCTCAGGAAATAGTGCTACACACACTTGAAAAATGCAAGATGAGCTTGACACCACATTGGCACAGGATACACGACAGGAAGTGGCATGGTGAGTGGTGATAACGGTCCCTGTGGCCAGGCCAAGAGCAGGTCTCACACCCCAGCCGTGGTCCCTGCTGCAGGAGGAGGCTTAGTGCACTGAGCAGAGAGCTTGTGGCTCTGCGGGGTGAGGGTAGAAATCTGGCTGTGCTTCTGGGGGGCACGGGAAGGGGGCGCAGGCCAGGAGGTAGGAAGGGGAGGCCCTTGAGGACATTATCTTAGCAGCTAAGACTCAACAGGGCACCCTGGCGCACAGAAAGCACTAGGGGAAATTTTCGGGTTTGTTTGCTTTTGGAGCTGCTCAGACCTATTTCCCAGAGGGCCTGCTGTGGACAGAGCTGGCTTTAGGAGAAGAGAGCATGCACCATTTGTCCTTTGTGTCTCTTGGGGAGGGGCATGCAGTGCCACATACACAGGTGCTCAGTGGGAATTAGCCGGAGAGGACAGCGCTGATTACTGTTAATGACAGGGTAAGTTAATAAAGCCGTGGGCCTGTCTCCCAGCAAATCCGCCCTGTGCAATGGAACCTGCTGCTGATCTGCTTAGGAGGTGGCTCTTCTTTCAGCTGGCTGCAGGCTCTGTGGCAGTAAGAGTTTTTCTTTACAGTGTCTCGATCCTGCATTGTGATGTTGATTAGAAATCCATTTTTATTTGCACTCGTAAACAACCTGGGCATGTGAAAAGGAGCTTTTCCACCCTGAGTGTTTCTCTGTGGCACCTCCTATGGCAAGAGCTTCCCTTTGTGCATTAGCAAGTTCCTGGCACTGTGGTATTATTCCGGGCTTCAGCCCCACACTGCTCTCATGGCTCTGTTCCCAAAGATTAACGACCATGCAATCCAGTAACTTTTGCCTTGGAAACAAGAGGAGAAAACTTGATGATAATACGGATTTAAAGCAATTATTTACTTGGTTTGTTTTACTCTTGAAAAAAAAATCTTCTTTTAAGGAGCATGAAGGGAACAGTTAATAACTATTTGCCATGTTGTTTCCTTAATGTTATTATTGCTGCTGTAATTTTAAGGAGCGCAGGAAAGCAGAACGATTCATACTCCTTTGATCAAGTTCCACATGAATTCTTCCGAGGTCACCAGATTATTTAAAAGATACAAAAAGACAAATGCAGGCAAGAAAAGGACTGAAAAGGTGCAAATCAAGGAACAGTATCTCATCTTTCTTGAGCATTTTGAGTACAGAAAAATAAAATATCTTTATCTCTAGTTAGGTCTGATTCCTGCTTTAACATCTAGTGAAGGAAACAGCCATATATACAATTTATTCCAAGACAAGGCACATCGTAATGGGGCTAGTACTGTGGCAGTGCTAAAAAAGTGGGGTTCATTCAGAGGGTGAAGCCTCTGGCAGATCTGAGGGAGTGTTTCACGCACAACTCTGTGGCTTTACATGCATATTCTCGGTCTGAGCAAGAGTGCCAAAGAGGTGGCCTGAAAAAGGAGATTACTTAGCAATGTGAGGAGAATTCCTACTGATAGGGTTAAAAAGCATACATGCACAGTAGTTAAGCTTTTAAGCTGTAAAGACAGGCCAAGTTAAAATCCCAGCTCAGTGTCTCCTGTGGGTTGTGTCATTGTTGAATACTGTCCTTCCCTGGGGGAAGGTTGTTCTTTGCTGTTCATTAATACCAGGGTAGTCATGGGACCGGCTATGGTTAAGGCGATGGGAACAGAAATGATACATGTCCCGTTCAAGTAGACACTGTGAGAGCCACCGTTTGCCTCTTCCGTGGTACCCTTTCCCTGTTTTCTGATGATCACCAGAGTCCTGGACACAGGATGTTCCTTCAGCTTGAGAGACGATTGGAGCAGAGCCAAGCTGACTCACGGTCAGCATGACTTACTAACATAACTAAGCACTAACCTTTGTTTGACAGTCACTGAGATTTCCGATGCTGTTGCCAGAGTCCAACTCTGGTGGACACGTTACAAGCTATGGGATCTGATTCGATCACATTAAACCTCAGTTTCCTTGTCTATAAAACAAAGATAATACTTAACTCAGACAATCACTGTGAGGTTAAAAAATAGTTAATTTCAAAGCACACAACGTAAAGGATGTAGTCCACACTAATAATTCAGTAAACATTGGCTGTCTTTCATATGCATGGAAAAATGTCTAGAAGAATATACACTAACCTATAAACAGAAGTTCTCTCTTGAATATGAGATTATAGGTGACTTTCATTTCCTATGCTATTCATATCTTTAATCAAATTTTTGATAAGGAACATACTATCTTATTAATCTTAAAAGTAGTTTATTTCCAATTTGAAAAATAAATAACAAGTGCTCTTTATCTTTTTCTATCACAATGCCTGTTTGCACCGGAGATGGCTCCCTGAATGGAGATGGGTGCTTTGCAAGGTTCGAGGGATGGATCAGGACGGGAAGCCCACCCATCTAACCACAGTGAGGTCGGTCAGCTTCTCATCTGGATGGCCAAGTGCACGGTAGGCGGTGTCCAACTATTTCTAAGATGAGAAATAAAGGATTGTTACCTGAGGTATACACTCCCATGATACATTTATCAAATGGCTACAAACATAAATCTAGAGTTCAGAAATATAGATGTGAGGTTTATCCAAATAGAGACCATCGATCAAATCTGTGCGTACAGGACAGTAACATGGTTCACTCTTGTTCCCGTGAGCCCCTCTCCCCACATTTCCTTGAGTCCAAGAATTTTTTAACAATAGTTACTCCACAGTTTTAACTGACACCTACCAAGTGCCAGGTACTAATGGTAGAGAACTGAACTATAAAATCAAATATCTCTGCCTTGAAGCAATTTATAGTTTAGGAAGACAGGCAGATAATAAGTAGAAAAGACACAAAGTGCATGCTGTCTTGATAAAAAGAAAACTAAAGCAGTGGAAAGGGGAAGAGAATGTTGGGAGAGCAAATCAGGGAGGCCTTGCTGAGGATGTGACAGTGGAGCACAGAAGCTCAGCCAGCACAGGATACCTCCGAATGCGGGTAGAATGATCCAGATAGGTGGGACAGAAAGGGTGGAGGCCTCGAAATGCAAAGAGGCCTTTATTTAGAGGAAAAACCAAGAAGGGCAGCATGACTGGAGCAGAATGAGAACACGGGCAAGAGGCAGAAGAGTTCAGAGAAGTAACAAGGGCTGGTCATGGAGGGGAAGTGGACGGAGGCCCATTAGCGGCTACCAAGAGAGCGTCACCTTTCATGCTGAGTGATACTATTATTGCGAGATGGGAGATGGGTGGTGTGGGCTGCTGTGTTGGCAGTGGAAGAAGAGGTCAGATACTAGATATATCATATAAGTGCAAAACAAATGCTCACAGGTTTGTCGTGGCACGTGAACTAAAGAGAGGTGTCAAAGGTAACTCTGGGGTTTGGGGCCCTAGCAACAGGGAGTGGGGAGTTCCCAGGGAGGAAGACTTCAGGTGCAGCAGCAGTGGGTGGAAGGGTGGGGGTTCAGGTTTAGATACTGCAACGTTGTGATGCCCTTAGACAGCCAAGTGCAGTTGCCGAGGAGGAAGCTGGATAAGTGAGCCCACCTCCAAGCCCATTGCAGCTTGGAGGAGCAGTTCAGGCTGGACCTTGAGGTTCCCAATCCTTAAGTAGATTAAGTTACAAAAAGTGATGTCACTCAAAGAGTAAGTGCAGGGGGGAAGGAGTCTGGGGTTGGAGCCCCGGGGCCCCCAACATTTAGAGCAAAGGAGTGAAAGATCCACGGCAGTGGAGAATGAATGGCTGGCCAGCAAGGACGGGAAACAGGGTTAACTAGAGCGCCAAACATCAGTGAAGGAAGTTCTGCGGAAAAGGGCTTGTCACCCCTGGGCCATGTGAGATGGGGACTGTGACTGCCCATTGGATTGAGGCAGGGAGAGGCCACTGGTATCTAGAAAACAGTAGAGTGGGTGGAAAAGACCGACTGGCTGGGATTCCAAAGAGAACATAAACAGGGGAATTGGTGACTGAAAGGGTTTTGGCCCAGACAGGACACTGTAGCCAGGAAAGCCACAACCGGAAGCAGGAAGCCCCTATCTCCCCTGCCCCTAGGAAGTTACCTGTGACGCCATCTTCCCACCCCTGGAAATTTACATATGGCGCCAAACCTAGGACCAATGGGCTACCAGTACATCCCTAATGCCTGCCTTAGGTTCTACCTCAAACCGAGGCTATTTACATGCCCCCATGCCATGTGTCCGCCAGGGAGATCCCTGGACGCCAGCGGTGGGGGTACTGGTCATCTCTCTCCGTGTTCTCAGAATGAAGGCCGCTTTTTATTTTATACTTCTCATCTTTTGGAAATATTTTTCATCTTTTGGAAATAATCCTAGCAGTGACAAGTTTAAACAACCCATTTGGAAGAGTTTTGCTGCAGAAGAGACTGGGAAAGTTTAACGGTAGCCAGAGAGAAACATGAGTCAAACCAGGTATTTTTTTCTTTCTCTTTTCTTGTTTTTAGATGGAATACATCCCAGTGGTCTATCTGCCGATGGGAAGACCATAGTAGAGACAGACAAATTGATGATGCAGGTGAAATAGAATTTTTGGTGCTAGGAACCTGGGTAGGTGAAAGGAAATAAGATTATATTACACAGATGGAGAATGTGGCCTTAACTGAGGTCTCACCTCATAGTTTAGAGAACTAGAAGAAGAAATCAGGGACCAGATATGGATGCAGGCATGTTGGCAGGTACATATAGGTAGTATGGGTGTCTGTTTTTAACTAATGTCTATCTTTTTCTTTTAGGAAGCAAGACCACCAGTTGAAAGAGAGGATAGGCAAAAGGGTATAAAATTTGAGAATGGTGGAAAGTTATGAATCAGCAACCCAGGAGAGGAAGAAGGTGGGTGATCTACAGCAGTGACGGTGAACCTTTTAGAGATTTCAGTGATAACAAACAGCCTGCTGCTGCACCCGTGCCATAGGTTCGCCATCACTGGTCTAGAGAGTGCCAGGTCAACCAAAGACCCCCACGTTCAGTGGCTACAAAACCTGGTTGAAATAACAGCAGGGTTGTGGGGATTCAGTTTCGGTATGAGTAAGGAGGAGGATTTAATCACACAGGAGTGGATGAGGCAAATTAAAAGGGAGAGGAAGACTTGGGGTCAAGAGATGTCGGTGGAGCATGGAGTTAGGAAAGAATTGTGAAGGAAAGCTGGCATATGACAGTGAAGGTATTCCACCTTCACTGACTTGACTGACTTTGAGATCTGCCTGGGGATTGGTGGAGAATGCTTGTGTCATGGAAGTGTGATCTTGGGAACCACAATGGTCCCCTCACCCCTTCCTCTCTGGTTGCTGTGAACTAGCTTTGCTTCGCCACCCTCTTCCAGCATGATGTTCTTGTCTTGGAGCCTTTTGACCCTGCACTGAATTTCTTGCAACTGTGAGTTTAATCAAGGTTCTCTTCCTCTAAGTTGCGTGCTTCAGGGATTGTGTTCCAGGATGGGAAAACTGACTAATGCAAAATAATTTGTGCTGGGAGTGGGCTCCTTGCTGTGACAGTGCTGGACTATATGGATTAGAAGCCTTTGGAACTGGTGTATGGGAGGAGTTTAGGAAAGTTTGGAGATGCAGGACAGAGAATCCCTAGAATGCTGTAAGCAGAGCCTGATGAGTGACTTTGATCAGATTTCAGAAAATGAGGATGTTGACAAGGATGAAGATATTAAAAGCCAGGTTTATGAAGTTTCTGTGGAGAATAAAGATATGCTGGCAGTTGGACTAGAGTCTATGTGTCTCATATTCTGGTAGAAAATTTGTCTACACTTTGCCCATGTCCTGGGACTATGCTGAATACTGGGTTTTAAGAGCAATGGACTAATTATTCTGATGGAGGAAATTCCAAAGCAGCCCAGTGTTCTGGATGTGACATTGGTACTGGTGAATGCTTTGAACCAAATTTATGCTAAGAATGAAGCAGGTGGAGTGCAGAGCAGAAAAAATTGAACAATTAAATATTGGCCCAGAAGGAACTATATATTAAGTTGGGGACAAAGGGTAAGGCTGCTAAATATTAGTGCCATTAAAAAGAAACCAAGTGCTTTGTATAAGGACAAAAAGAAAGTTACCTTCAGGGCATCTCACAAATCAATAAAACCCCACCCACTGGTTTAATAGTGGTGTAGCCATGGTTCAAGAGTCTGTAGTCTGGCTCTTGCTACTGCTCACAGCAGACCTTGGCATTATTCACTCATACTGGTTTTACTTGCATGCAGAATGCAAGAGTTGGAGGATCAGGGATGCTTTCACCCAGATTTCAAAGAAAGACCTGGGAGGCCAGGCAAGGAGCCTCCAAGAGGGCTGTGAATGAAGCCAAAGGTGCAGTGAAGACCTCAAGAGGCTGAAGATTTTGGGAATGTGGAATGCCTACCGAGGGAAGCTTCGGTCTATGAGTGGAGCCAGCCCAATAGCTAGAGCATCTGTGCTGCAACTGGCAAAGCCGTAGGGTGGGGCCACCAAGGCCTTTAGAATTCACATTTCACCACCATGTTTTCCAGGTGCCAATTATGGAACTGTGGGACTTCAAGTTTGCCCTGATGAGCTTTGGTCTTGCTTTGGTCTGATAACTTTCTATCTCTTTATTCTTATCTTTTGGAATGGGAATGTTATTATGCTTTGGGGTTACATCATTTGATTTTACTGTTACAGACGTTTATAGCTAAGAGTTTGCCTTGAGTCTTAGAACAGACTTTGACTTGAACATTTGAAAAATGCTGGATTCTTGAGACTTTGGGAGGGGATTTGTTGCATATTGCATAAGTATGTAGGAAAGTTGTGTCATGTTAGGCAGAACTATGACTTTGGGTGTGTGATTAAGTCTGGTTTAAGGAGATATGTTTGGGTACGAAGTTGACAAGAGATATGATGTGATGGTTGTGGTGAAATGTCAACTTGATTGGTTTTGAGATCTTCTCAGAGGGATGGTGGAAAACACTAGTGGGTATATTTGGTATTGTTCAAGTGTGTCCTTGGGCACTAAATCTGATTCCCTCAGTCCTCTATCTCTGGCACTGTCCCCTGCTATTTCCTGGGCTACCACGAACTAAGGAGTTTTGCTTTGCTATGCCTTGAAACCTGCTAAACTTGTGCTGAACTCCAAAACCTTGAGTTTAATTAAAACTTTCCCCTTTTTAGTTGTGTCTCAGCAACAGGAAAGATGATGCTATAAGGAGTCACTTATTATGAGAAAGGAAAGAAAAATGAATTCATTAGTTTTCTACAGTTGCATAGCACAACTTCTCTAAACTTGGCAGATTAAAACAACATGTATTTATTATTTGTCTTAGTTACTTTATGATCGTCGCTGAGACAAAATACCTGATGCTCACGTTGGGAAAGGAAAGGTTTATTTCTTACAGTTTTTGGAGGTTTCAGTCCACACTCAGTTGGCTCCAAGGCAGGCGGGCATGGCTGGACCGCAGTTCATGGCAGCCATTGACAGCAAGCTCAAACCAGCAAAGAGAAAGACACACCTTCTTCCTGCCATTACATTACATCCTGGCTCCACCCCCTATGTGGGTGGAGCACTGACACCATCAATCCAAGCACTATACAATGAACCATCACAAATGAACAATGCAAACTCATGAGGCCTGGGGGACACAAACATAAACCATGACATTATTTGACAGTCTCTGAGGGTCGGGAGTCTGGGCTTCTCCTTCTCTCTCTCATAAGGCTGCAGTTGAGAAGTTTCCAGGCCTCAAGTCTCATCTGCAGCTCAACCGGGGAAGAGTCCACTTCTAAGCACACTGGGGTCAGCAGGATTCAGTCCATTGTGGGTTATCAGACTAAGGGCCTTATTTCTTTGCTGCTCCTAGCTACTGTTTGTACCTAGATCTTTGCCATGGAGGCTTCTCTCTTTGGTGGGATATTTCATCAAGGCCAGAAAAGGAGGAAATGGATGGTCTGCTAGCGAAAAGGAAATCCCAACCTTATGTGAGGTTTTTTTCCCCATTTCCCCCTCCCCTGTATTAAGTTTCTATTACTGTAATAAGTATCACTGGTAAATCAACTTGTGAAGTGAAAAGGTTGATTTTTGGCTCAAAATTTTGGAGGTCCCAGTCCATGGTGGCCCCATTAGTTTTTGGCCAATAGGAAATGTGTAGTCAATCAAAAAGCCACTTGCCTCATGGCTGGAATGCAAAGGCTAGAGTAAAAGATGCCAGGGTCCCCAATCCCCTCTGAGGGTAAACCCTCAATGAACTAAAACTTTGAATGATATTTCACTCCCAGTGGGGAGGACTGCGAAACGGATTCTTTTTCTGTGAAGCCAGAACTCCTCCATCATCTCTCCATCACTGGAGGCTGCAGGTCTCCCCTCTTAAATGTTGACTGAACTCCCAACAGGATCATGATATGGGGACAAGTCATGTTATGTTGTGAGAAGCAAGTGACAGGTTCCTACACACACTCCGCGGAGAAGGACCCACAAGGATGCACATGACAGTAGACAAAGATAGATGAGAGCCACTTTAGATTCTGCATGCCACAAAGAAAATGGATGAATTTACTGGTTTTGGGTAGAAAGACAGACAAGTGAGAGGACAAAACACAGAAGATGGTCCGACTCCTAATAATAAAGGAGATGAAGGTCATCTCTTCAGGAAGTAAGGGCCTTAGTAGGTAGCACAGGAAAGGAAATGGATGAGAGGTCACCCAGGACAAAGTAGGTTTCTGAACAGCACTATGCTGTCAGCCTTCACAGATTAGAAAGTGTGAATTTGCTGTAGGGCCAATTATTGGGAATGTGATTTGCTCCAGTAACAGACAATGCCCTGGTTTTGGTCACAGAACAAATGAGGGAGAGAGCGACTCGAGTTAGGTGACGGGTAATAAATGATAGGTCAGGGTCGAGAATATCTATGGTGCTGATTTTAAAAAATCCAAGCGACGGAGTCAATTTTCTGCTTTCATCCTTGCACTTTGCTGGCAAGTCTGAGTGTTCCGACTGGGCCTGTTTCTGGGGGTACCGAGGTCCCTGTGACACAGTCAGGTGCTGGCGGAGCTTCTGGGTGGTCCTGCTGGGAGGACTGAGAAACAGATCCATTTTCTGGGGAGCCAGATCTCCTATATCATCACCCACCACTGGGGGCCTCCAGACCTCCCCTCTACTTGCGAGCACTTCCTGGAGCTTCCTTGGGCTCTGTCCGTCCTCTCCCAGATCTGTGTCCTCTCCTGTGGCCACCAGCTCTGTCCTGCTCCTCAGCCACAGCATCTGTCAGGCTCCTTTTGGTGCTGAGTCCCTTTCCAGATACAGCTTATTCACCAGGCAATACACTGTCCCGTGGTTCACAAACAGGTTAAACCTGTGAAAATGCTAATGGCATTAATTTTGTTCCATTTGTTAAGAAATTGGATTCTCAGTTTCCAGGATGAACTACGGTCTTTTTACTGACCATGCTGCTGCTTGAGTCCTTTCCTTTCATCATCGAGTGGGGCTGGACCAACAAGAGGAAGCCATCCAGGGGCTTTTAAAAGTCATTGTGTCCATCTTCCATCCTTCCTTGAAAATAATAACCCTCTGTGAGATAATTTTGAGAGGAGCCCATAAGCCCATGACTGCATGTTACTCTATTTTATTTAAAGCTTAGTGTCAATGTAAATGTTTCTTTCTTTAGAAAATTCTTAGAGAAAGATCGTTATTTCCCACATGAGGAGAGTTGCAAAGGGGTCTCATTTATTTTGGCACGCAGACCACCAACCCACTATGAGCCCAGAAAGCTTGTTCCATAAGCATTCATGGAGCTGAACTGAAACAAGCTGGCCCAAAAGTGAGCCTTTAGCAAGTAAGAGTCATCCCTGAATGACCCCTGAATGATGTCAAATAATAGAAAACCA